TCTATCACCAAAGTGACAAAATGTTGGCATTTGCACTATGCCCATAGATTACAAATAAGATCATCCATTCGATGTTCAAATGTTGCATATTTCTTGCCTCAGTTTTAATTAAAAGGCATGAAGAGAAGTAAACATTTGTTAAAAGGCATGGGGGGAAAATAACTTTTTCATTTTTATCCACTCCCAAAAAATTTTTTAAATAAAACGTTTTGGTGAACTCTGGACCACTCCATTCCCTAGCTTGACCTGAGGACATTTCGGTCTACTCCTTTCACCTTCTGTCTACCTGAGGCACGTCAAGCAAGGACTTGGCCTCATTCTACCTTCCTGTGAAATTAGGTTGGAAGTTTACCAGGAGAAATTTTACAGTTCTTTTATAATACTGTAGCTTTTTTAAGAAGGGCTTTTGATTGCTAGAAATGTGAACTTGGATTGATTGAGGGATTGCCTTCTTGTTGTTGTTTTTCTATTCTATTCTCACTGTTGTGTCTTTTTAACTTCAGTTTTTCCTTCGCTTAATGAACATTATTTTAGCAATTAGTTGTACTGTTATGGTGAGAGCCACTTTGGGGTAGTGGTTAAGGCATCAGGCTAGAAACAGGTCAGCTGGGTGACCCTGAGCCAGTCACTCTTTCTAAGTCCTGGGATGCAATGGCAAACCATTTCTGAAAAACCTTGCCAAGAATACAGATAGTCCTTGACTTATGACCACAACTGTGCCCCAAATTTCTGTTATTAAGAAGAATTTTGTTAAGTGAATTTTGCCCCATTTTATGGTATTTCTTGCCACAGTTGTTAAGTGACTCACCACAGTTGTTAAGTTAGTAACACAGTTGTTCAGTGCATTTGGCCTGCCCATTAACTTTGCTTGTCAGAAGGTCATAAAAGATGATCACATGACCCTGGGATACTGCAACTGTCATAAATAATGCCAGATGCCAAGTGTCTGAATGTTGATCATGTGACTGTGAGCCATCATAAGTCTGGAAAATGGTCATAAGTGTGGAAAATGGAAGTATGCAGTGGAGTACCCCAAGGCTCTGTTTTAGGTCCAGTACTCTTCAACATCTTCATCAATGACTTGGACGAGGGAATAGATGGGGAACTCATCAAATTTACAGATGACACCAAGCTGGCAAGAATAGCCAACACTCCAGAAGATAGGCTCAAGATACAGAAGGATCTTGACAGACTTGAACATTGGGTGCTATCTAACAGAATGAAATTCAACAGTGAAAAAAGTAAGGTTCTACATTTAGGCTAGAAAAACAAAACACAAAGGTACAGTATATGTGGTACCTTGCTCAATAGTAGTAACTGTGAGAGGGATCTTGGAGTCCTAGTGGACAACCATTTAGATATGAGCCAGCGGTGTGCAGCAGCTGCCAAAAAAGCCAACACAGTTCTGGGCTGCGTAAACAGGGGGATAGAATCAAGATCACGTGAAGTGTTAATACCACTTTATAATGCCTTGCTAAGGCCACACTTGGAATATTGCATTCAGTTTTGGTCGCCACGATATAAAAAAGATGTTGAGACTCTAGAAAGAGTGCAGAGAAGAGCAACAAAGATGATTAGGGGACTGGAGGCTAAAACATAGGAAGAACGGTTGCAGGAACTGGGTATGTCTAGTTTAATAAAAAGAAGGGCTAGCGGACACATGATAGCAGTGTTCCAATATCTCAGGGGTTGCCACAAAGAAGAGAGAGTCAAACTACTTCAAAGCACCTGAGGGCAGGACAAGAAGCAATGGGTGGAAACTAATCAAGGAGAGAAGCAACTTAGAACTAAGGAGAAATTTCCTGACAGTTATAACAATTATTCTATGGAACAACTTGCCTGCAGACGTTGCGAATGCTCCAACACTGGAAATTTTTAAGAAGATGTTGGAAAACCATTTGTCTGAAATGGTATAGGGTTTCCTGCCTGGGCACAGGGTTGGACTAGAAGACCTCCAAGGTCCCTTCCAACTCTGTTATTCTATTCTATTCTAAGTCAACTTTTTCAGTGCCATTGTAACTTTGAATGGTCACTAAACAAATAATTGTAAGTTGAAGACTATTTGTACTGCAGGGATAAAGGTAAAGGTAAAGGTAAAGATTCCACTGCACATCCGGGCTAGTTGTTTCCAGCTCTAGGGGCGGAGCTCATCTCCATTTCAAAGCCGAAGAGCCAGCACTGTCTGAAGATGTCTCCGTGGTCATGTGGCTAGCATGACTAAACACCAAATGTGCACGGAACGCTGTTACTTTCCCACCAAAAGCAGTCCCTATTTTTCTTCTTGCATTTTTTACGTGCTTTTACGAACTGCTAGGTTGGCAGAAGCTGGGACAAGTAATGGGAACTCACCCCGTTACGCGGCACTAGGGATTCAAACCGCTGAACTGCCAGCCTTCTGATCGACAAGCTCAGCATCTTAGCCACTTGAGTCACTGCGTCACCACTGCAGGGATATGTCAGGGCAATCTCTGAGAATTGGACATGATTAAATGGAAGAGAAAAAACATACTTTCACTGTATTTTTAAGATATTATTTCTGCATGTTGTAATTCTTCTCCTTTACTAGTTTTCTTGATTATTTTTACCCAAAGAAAGTGGGATATGCATTTGTTGAAACCTAAACAGCCTAGGGCCTGTCCATCTAAAGAATGTGGTCTGGATCTATCCAGTTTTTTAAACTTTTAGAAACTTTTCTACAGTAAATTAGCACAGCAGAAAAACAACCTGTGTAATTCTGTGTTTTTTCTCTCTTTCTCCGTCTATGTGTATGCATGTGTATGACAGAGAGTGTTATAACTAGACAATGATGCTGCTTTCATCATTTGTAAAATGTTGGCAAGTATGAAATTAATTAGGAATTGTTGAGCTTGTATGCAACAAAAGAGAAGAGAGTAGGTGGGCAGAGAGCAGCTGTCAAAACTGAACTTTTGTGAGTGGCCGTTTCTGAATGTATTTTACTTTGTTCATCTGTACAAAGTAGAAGAAAACATGTTTATTTGCTTCAAACATCAGTATCTCTGGCATTGTTGAAAAGCAAGGTGGAATAAATGAGAAAGATGGGGTAGACATACACACACAAGTATTCAAACACGCATACACGGACCACTCATACTCTTTTTAACATATAGTTACTGTGCTACATTCAATTTCCTGAGAGAGGAAGATTAGTATATAATACAGAAAAATACACTGACTAATTAGAAACTTCATACTCTAATTATCTTTCTGTGAACCTGTACTCAAATTGGGGTCTTGAATACAGTTGAGCAATTTTGGTATGTGAAGCTATGCTTTCATTGATATTGCCTAAAATGGCACTTGCTGTAGGAGAAGGGATGGCAGAGCCCGGGGGTGGAGTTAAAAGAAGGAATGGCCCAGAATCAGTGGTGGGATTCAGCCAGTTCGCACCACTTCGGGAGAACCGGTTGTTAACTTTCTGAGCAGTTTGGCAAACTGGTTGTTGGAAGAAATCATTAGGGCAGAGAACCGGTTGTTAAATTATTTGAATCCCACCACTGCCTAGAATCCTTATGTAGCCACAAACATGACCTTGAGTGCTGTTGACCCTTATCTAACCAGGTGTTGAGAAGATTCCTGTGCAGTGGCTTGTAGCAAGAAATCTGCTTAATTGCACTTTACATGTAGATCTGTCTTTCATGCATGACACTTGCCTTGTTTTCAGCCATGTCATATAACTGGCTCATATTCAGCCTGGGTAGAGCTGCAGTTCCAAGATCTTTTCACATGTCCTATTTCAAACCCAGTATCCTCTCCGCTGAGCCAGACTGGTGTAGTGGTTAAAGGCACCAGACTAGAAATTGGGGAGACCATGAGTTCTGATCAGTGGTGAAATTCAATTTTTTTTATTACCGGTTCTGTGGGTGTGATGTGGCTTGGTGGGCATGGCTTGGTGGGTATGGCAGGGGAAGGATACTGCAAAATCTCCATTCCCACCCCACTCCTGGGGGAAGTATATTGCAAAATCTCCATTCCCACCTCACTCTGGGGCCAGCCAGAGATGGAATTTGCCGGTTCTCTGAACTACTCAAAATTTCCACTACCGGTTCTCCAGAACTTGTCAGAACCTGCTGGATTTCACCCCTGGTTCTGATCCCACCATAGACACAAATGCAGCTGAGCCAGCCACTCTCTCTCAGCCTTAGGAAAGAGGTAAGGGAAAACCAATTCTGAAATCTTGTCAAGAAAACTACAAGAATTAGTCCAGGCAGTTGCCAAAAGTCAATACTGACTTGAAGGCATGAAAAGAAAAACCTCTCTTCTATATTCTATTTATTTTATTTTCTCTATTCTGGTATTATTTTCAGTCCATTTTTGACCTATCAGAATTGTTTTGAATTTATTTTTGCTCCTTAGTCTCTTAGTTATCTCAGAGACTATCATTGATCTTCACTGTATAAGGCACTTTTATGGTTTTTTACTATTTAGTTCACACTCAAAGGTTTGAACAATATTTTTTTTTTCAAAATTCCTTACAGCTGCAGAAATTATTATTATTTAAATGTACACAATCACCAAGAGAAGATTTCCATGCTGCATTAGTGTTACAGTTCTAGCTAGGCTTAAGCAAATGCTAAGCAAATCAAATTTTATAAACTGAGCTTTCCAAAACCCTCTGTGTGGTACTATATAATCCTCACAATTCAGTGTTCAGAACTGCAATCATGTGACGTTTAGTATTTAATATTCAGTTGCTTGGAATGAGAATCCGTGTTTAGTCATATGCAACCCTGTTTCTTACATTTGTTGTTCTCTGTGATTCAGAACAATGTCCCTCCAACCAACGGCAAATGTGCATATTTTCGACATTGACTACATAAACGGCCAATTGTTCTGGATATGTAGGCTGAAGAAATATGGATGGAATTATGACTCTCTTTTGTAGAGCAACATGATACGAGTGACAAACAGATTACTTTTACAAATCTGTTTGGCATTCAATAAGTTGGGATCTGAAAGAAACATGCTTTCTTTTGATGCAGGATTTAGTAGATGAACGCAACCAAACCAGTCTGCAACAGGATATAGCAGTTTCCAATTGCTTGGCCTCTGAGGATCTTGCCCAAGAAGAGAGAAAAACAGAGGACACTAATACAGCAACTAAGACAGATAATAACATCATGAGCTTCTTCAAAACACTGGTAAGATGCTGTCATTTTGATTTTCCCTACGTAACTGAGATGAATTGTTACACAAATTTGCTATCAACCTTTTCCTTCCTTCCTTCCTTCCTTCCTTCCTTCCTTCCTTCCTTCCTTCCTTCCTTCCTTCCTTCCTTGAAAATTTAAAAGGGGCAATGACAGCAGCAGAAAAGTGACTGTCACAAAGATTGAATGTGAAATCATGTATGGCAGATGAGAAGGGAGTGTGGCTGGCTGTACTTGCTAGACAATGTGAAAAGCAAGATTTCTGTTTTAGAAGAAGTAATGAACTTGTAGAACGATTTTCCCCAGACTGGTACCCAACAGTTATATGGGACTGGGATTTCCTAGCTTTCAGGAAAGGTCATCTCAATCAGAAATCTTTGGATTTACAGTATAAAACTCAGGAAGGCTATTATAGAAGAACGTAAATTAAGTGAGTTTGAAAGATTGTGGTTTTTATTCATTAATTTGGAGGATCAAGTCAAAATTATCAGACATATTCTGATGGGGGTTTAAGGGTTTTTACATTGTGGAATGTTTATGTTGTAAGCCATCCAGACCTAGACTGTGTTAATTGGGCCATTTAATAAATGTATGTTAAATAAATAAATTTATTTATTTCTCAAGAGCAGGATTTTTAATTAAGCACAATGAGAAATTGCAGTATCTACGTGAGAATAAAAAAAATCAGTACTAAGACTTTTGTTCAAAAATAATGTGCATTAAGTTCAATCTGTACAGAACTTCTAAACAGCATAAAGACTGAGATTAATTAAGATTAGATAAAATAACATTAAGATTAATGTTAAAAATCACATGAATTCAGACAAGCTGCTTTTGGGGAGGGGTGTTCTCTTTTGCTGTTCCCTCAAAGTAGTTTGAGGACAGAATACAAGAAAATAAAATAACTGCTGGAAGGAATCAAAATTTGATCAAGACTGGTAATATTTTTTTCCAAAAGTGGTTAGCCAGATGATAATAGCTGGGATTACATATCCTGCTAAATATGGCTGCTAAGTATTAATGTGGGTTCTTTGTTTTCTCTCTTTCACCAAAAGCAGGACAATAGTTAACAAAATGTGTTTAACTGCATTGATGTGGTGGAATGTAGTCTGGAATCCCAAGAGGGAGGGGTTACTTCCAAGAGGTCAAAGAGGCAGCACAGCTTGGAGAGTTTGGTAGGCAGGAAGAGAGTTAAGGCGGCCACTCCCTAGCAGTTCACAGAGTATATCCATTTTGTACATATTTTAGGTGATAGAGGTGAATAACAATAAAGAAACTACTCAGAAATAACTCCATATGTCTTCTTGGATTTTGGGCCTTACAAATGACTTGTGAAACCAAAAAACATGAATGAATCTATTCCTCACAAACAGCAGTTGTTCTGCCATCTAGTGTTGATGACTTTTTGTGGGTGGGTGGGGGAACCTTCCAATTTATATAGAATAGAATTCTTTATTGGCCAAGTGTGATTGGACACACAAGGAATTTGTCTTTGGTTTATATGCTGTTAGTGTACATAAGGAGAATAAAATACATTCAAGAATAAAAAGATACAAAACTTAGTGATAGTCAAGGTTACTAATAAGCTATCATATCGTACTAGGAAACAAATAAAAACAATATAAATTGAAAGATACGAGCAACATGGTTATAGTAATAAGTGGGAAGAGATAGATACTGGTAAGGAAAAGAATAATAATAGTAATACAGTCTTAGTAAATTATTTGACAGTGTTGTGGGAATTAGTTGTTAAACAAAGTGAAAAAACTGTCCTTGTGTCTAGTTCTTCTGGTGTACAGTGCCCTATAGCATCTTTATATAATATAATATATATAAATATATAAAATATAAATAAAATTATATTTATATATTATATTATAATATATTTCATTATATTATATTTCTTTTCTGATTTAGTGTTTGTTCAATTTGATTATTTGAGGGGAAAATGTAACTTTACATTTGCTTCACATATCGTTGGAAACTTCTTCATTTTAATCTGTATCTCAGTATTTTAAAACAATGTCCTCCTAATTCCCTTTTGCTCTTCAATCAAAGACCATCACAAAATTTAGAATGGTTTTTAAAACTGCCCATTTGAAGAATGATTTTTCTCTTGAAAGGTTTCACCAAGCAAAGCTGATTCCAAGTGTGAAACGGAGGATAAGGTGAGTGTCTTTGCAAATTCAACATTTGAGGGTTTTCTTGGGGGCGAGAAGTGTTACCTACTTCGGTATTCCAGGACTGATTCATACACACATCTCATCCTAAATGGGGAAGCACTGCGTCTGATATGAAGTTGGGTGATTTTAAAGTTTATGTGTGATTTAATTTGCATTATTTTTACTTATTTCATTTCATTTATTGGATCTACTCTTATGATGTTCAGAACTGCATATACAGTATGATCCTCATTTATTTTACCTTCAGAATTGCCTTATTATTCTTGGAAGCCAAGCTGGACAAGTGGAGGCTGCTCATTTGAGGAAAGCTATTGTAAATTATGTCAGACAAGGATCTGAGTTCAATTCTCATTAAGCATGATGCTCACGATGACTAGCTTCACTCATCTGTTTTGTTTTGGTTTCCATTGTTGTAAGAACAGAGTGTGGTTTATTTCTATACCTAGAGAGGTTTTTGGTAAGGCTACGGCCTCATCTACTAAAACTCTTGTGCCTTTTTGATTGTCTGTAACCTCCAATTTGGGAAAACTCACAGGGCAACAATTTTTAATCAAAGAAGCTCCAAATATAGAAATTTAATAAAATAAATAAATTTTAATAATAAAATAAAAAGGGACTTATTAACAGTATGTGACCTAAATCCAAAACCTATGAGCCTTATGGGATTGAAACTTGGCAAAGTTGTGGCCACTTCAGTGTTATCATACCACCACATTGCTGTGGTCAACTATGTCACGTGATTGTCATTTCCGACATTCCCTGCCAGCTTCCTATAAGGAAAGTCAATGGGGAAGATGGCAGGAAGTCAGGAATCACTCCCACTGCTTTTTGGCCAATGGTCATTCTGTTTTTTCTACTTAAATAAGGAAATATCTCTGAAACAATGACCCAACAGGTCACAAGTTGCTAGTTCAATACCAGATTGTGTATGACGATGGTGATTCTACAGATATATCTGGCATCAACCATTAGAACTTTGAGGCTAAGGATACAGCAGGATGGGACAATCAGTTTGAAAGTCAAACTTGCCCCCAAATTGGAGGCCTCCTTTCTAAATCCATTATCTCAGCCTTTGCTGTATCTCTCTCTCTCTCTCTCTCTCTCTCTCTTTCTCTCTCTTTTTTTTTTTTTTGTCTTTTAATGACTCCATAATCCCTTGCATCAGGGTGGAGTCGGGGCAAATGAATGGAGCTGAGTGTTTACTGGCCAAATGCCCTTCCTGTTGCCAATGCAGAGTTCACAGCAGATAGATTCTCATTGTGCCCAGAGGGAGAAATATCTGCCTCTACCTAGAATCGAACTCACAGCCTCCTGATTGAGAGGCGAGAGTTCCACCTCTAGGCCACCACACCACTCCCTTTCCTATAACTCAATGTTGTCATAAAAATAAAATGGAGGAACAGGATTGTGTGTAGGTTGTGAGTTTCTGGGGAAAATATGGTTTCATTTATTTATTTTATTTATTTATTTTATTTTATTAAATTTCTATACCACCCTTCTCCCGAAGGACTCAGGGCAGTGAACAGCCACAAGATAAAACACATAAATACAAAAATTTAAAATAGATTAAAAACGAATTAAATAATTTGGCTGAATTTAAAATACCCCATAATTTAAAAACAAATTAAAATTTACATTTAAAAGGGGAGAAGATTTAGGCCAGGCCAGCTTGATGAAATAAAAAAGTCTTAAGCACGCGACGGAAGGTGCGCAGATCCGGGATCCTCCATATCTCCGGGGGGAGCTCGTTCCAGATCGTATATTTAACACTATATTGAACTGATATGCCACCCAGATCTCAACAAATCTGACTTCTTGGTTTCTATTCTGTGGGAAATTCACAGCTGATCTTTTTCATAATATTCTGACAAACCTATGTACTTATAAGAGTAAAGGCAAAAAGTGTATAACATATATTCAGCAGTGTTATAAATTTGGGGTGAATTCAGTCTCATTGAAAAGCCCCAATGAAGAAAATCTTCAAACCTTATTATAAGGTCTATGAGAGGCCAGGCTCAAGTCAAATATTTGAAGCCATAATCAAAAATACCCTGTCTCTTTCTTAAGAAATTCTCAAAGATGATCTTATGCTCTATATTAGCAGCATTGTATGCATTTAGGCAATTTTTCAAATAACCTGCTCTCTATTTCACTGTTAGGACCAACACCGTGAATGGTTTATAAGACCTCCATAGTTAAGTAAAATTGTCCTTGCCTGGGTTTTGGTTGATTTTTGTTGCAATATAGTCTCATTAGAGAATGCCAGATATCGATAAAATTCATTATACCATAAAAGGTATAACGAGAGCATGGTGCCCCATTAGTTTATTATATATATCCTCAGAAACTACCCACAAATTATCTAAGGCTAACCTTTATACTGTCGTGTGCCAAAAGTGGCGGGAACGTGGTGAGGTCGCGCACGTGCGTGCCACCACACATAATTCAATGTGCCCCGCCCCTGGTGCATGTGCGCGTGATCCCCTCACGCTCCCCCCACTTTTGGCACACGATGGCACGGTGGGCCCAGTAGGCCTGTTTTTCGCCCTGCCCAGGCTCCAGAGGCTTTCTTGGAGCCTGGGGAGGGTGAAAACAGCCTTCCCCACCCCCACCCCGGTGGCCCTCTGGAGGCCAGGAACAGCCCATTTCCTGACTTCCAGTGGGCCCAGAAGGCCCGAAAATCAGCTAGCCAGCGCACACATGCGCGCTGGAGCTGAGCTAGGGCAACACTCGTGTGCCCACAGATATGGCCCTGCGTGCCACCTGTGGCACGTGTGCCATAGGTTCGCCATCATGGATCTAAGGTGTGCCCTGGAGTTCAGTGGTAGATATGTGTGGATTTCTTGCTAGATAAATATATGCTCAAATAATATATTGTTGCAAATACAGGTAGACCTCGACTTACAACAGTTCATTTAGTGACTCTTACAATGGCATTGAAAAAAGTGACTTATGACTGTTTTTTGCACTTACGACCTTTGTAGTATCCCCATGATCATTGATCATGTGATCAAAATTCAGATTTTCGCAACTGACTCATGACCATTGCTGTGTCCCAAAGTCATGTTTTGTAACCGTTTGACACACAAAATCAATGGGGAAGCCAGCTTCACTTAACTGTGTTACTACTTATCAACTGTGGTGATTCACTTAGCGACTGGGGCAAGAAAGGTCCTACAATGAGGCAAAATTCACTTAGCAAAGTTCTCACCTAAACAATAGAAAGGTTGGGCTCAATTGTGGTTGTAAGCCGAGGGTTACCCATAATTGAAAAAAAAATGCACTGTTATAGAGTACCTAACAAAATGTAGAATTCTCTTGAGTGAAGTGAGATTTGTGGATATGAGTATTGAGTTTCATAAAGACACTGTGCATAAACGATTGCTGATGCCTGTTATGGGCAAAAGGAAAATAGAACATGCAATGAAACTTCAACTTTGATTGATGTCACACAAAGGGATCTCAAACAGGCCATGGTGGGCAGCTTGCTGAGAAGACGGCGACTGACTCCCTTGTCAAAAGCACCAAGAAAAAGAAGCCAGACAGCCCCCGATTAGGACATAGTACATTTAGCAAACTGTTTAGACATAAGGTTGGTATGGGAGAGTAACACGGAGATCTGGAACCCTGAATAACAACAGATAACTTTTAAATCTTCTTACCCTGAATGCACGCATGCAGCAACTAAAGTGACTGAAAAGCAAAGCTTGAGTTGGACATTGTTTAGAATTGTTGCTGGCTTTGGCAAAGATATAATTCGGCAGCAGGGAAGTATCATGATAATTCTGAATGTTTATCTCTCCATTAATATCTGTGAATTCAGGGTTAAGCAGAAGGAACTGAACCCACTGACTGCATTCATTCATTGCTATTTTCTGTGGCTTGTTATTGAGTCTTTCTCACTAACAAAACCTGTGTCACCCTAACCAGAACTTAGAGCAATTCCATACTGCCATTACTTTCACTCCACAAAGCAATTTGAAGCTGAACTGTGTGACTGCCTTTCCTTCTCTTTGAAATGTTGAAAACAAAGCATGAAATTCAGTGCCCTGCCCCCAGCCTACTGTCAATCATGCAATAACTACCCCCTTTTCACCCGTCATCATAGAAGAGGCAGGCAGGCAGGCAGGCAGGCAGGCAGGCAGGCAGGAAGGAAGGAAGGAAGGAAGGAAGGAAGGAAGGAAGGAAGGAAGGAAGGAAGACTCAAGTACCTTTGTTTTTCATTCTTGTTAGTCCTGGATTGAATAAAAGGAAACTGACTGAATTCCTTCCATATGAAAAATCCGATAGGCCCAGTTAATTCAAGCTCCATACAAAAGAAGCTACACTGATCATAGAAGAAGAGCTGATTTTAGGAAATGTTAACATAACTTGCCCTAAACTGGCAACATTTAATATGTTGTAAGAACAACTCCTTGAATTCCAGCATCATCATGGCACCAATAATTATTTATTTATTTGTTTTGTCAAGCATGTGTTAGATAACAGATATAAGTATAGACATAATTATGAATACATGAGATGGATACAAATAAAAGGGAATATTAGGACAAGGACGGTAGACACGTTGGTGCGGTTATGCACGCCCCTTACAGACCTCTTAGGAATAGGGTGAGGTTGGCAGTAGACAGTCTAAGGGTAAAGTTTTGGGGGTTTGGGGAAGAAACTACAGAGTCAGATAGTGTATTCCAGGCATTGACCCTCTGTTGCTGAAGTTATATTTTCTGGAATCGAGGAATACCAGGAAGGCCGCTTTATAAGATGAAAACATGAAGGATTGCCTTGGCATAGATTCTTTTTTCCTGGGAAATGAAATGAGTTTTCCATTATCAGCACTGCTGAGTTTGTCTGGACTCAAAAGCAAGCACAGTTGGAGCTAATTGGTCCTTGGATGGGACACCATTACAAAACCCAAGACAACATGCACATGTAAAGACATGTTCTTGGGGTCCCACCCCAAGTTTTGGATGGTTGCCAAGAGGAGTTGCAAAAACAAGAAACTCCTATTAGCTTCACAAGACAGTATCCATATAGTTACCACGAGGCCATCTCTACCCAATGGCGTAGAGTACCTGAATTGATGCATTCTCTTCATCAAAGATACTGCATAACCCGGAAACTAATGCATACAGATTTGCTTCAGATACCCTCACCTCCTCCTAAGGTTTTTTCCCCCCAGGATTACATCATAAAACTAATTTGAACCTGAAAGCAGTGGCATTGCCTAATATCGGATACTAATATTGATATAAGTGTTTCCTTTTGATTGCTGATATGGTGAAATCATTGTAAGTTCAGATTATGCAGATTCAGAAGAACATCAGAATAAAGACTCAACTGGCTGAGCATAATATCCCATTCAATGTCTCCTGCTGGTAATGAGAGCCATATTGTCTCTGCAATTGGAGACATTTAACCATCAGGATGGCAAGACACTGATTGCTGTATTGTTCACAAATTCCTCCCTTTTGAAGCCTTCCCATTTGACATTTATCATTCCTCTTTGTGATACCAAATTGCAAAGTTTAATTGTCTTAGCCTATCCCAATTAAACCCATCTGGATATCAGCTACCAAAATTCTCAGCAATAGCCTGGCTAAACTGGAATTCTGGAGATGAATTCAGTCAGATCTGAAGAAGCTTCTTGGATGAGAAGCAAAATGTCTTCAAAGAAAACCAAGAAATTCCAGTTGCCTCTTGAAAAAAAGCACCTTTGGGACAACCATGACTTGGATAACTGAGAATCTCCATAGACAGTTCTGGGGATTGAAGGACATACCTATCTGCAGGCCATCCAGACTGGGAAAGGATTCATTATATGAAGTCCTTCCATTTTTCTGACTTGTCTTTCCAATCTTGCGGGTGCATAAGATTACCGAAGAAAAATTCCTTAGGAACTTTCTCCACCCTTCATTCCAAGATGGTTTAGCTACATTGTGTTTTCAGTTTTATACTCCAGTTCGTCCCCTGTGACATTTTAGGACACACAGCTCAACATTTTAGAAGGTCAGAGAAATGCTGAAAATATACCCAGCAAACTCTTTTTTATAATGGCTTCACCATGTCAAACCCTGTGCAGTGCCTGGATCCCCCCCCCACATCCTTAAATATCATTACAGCCACTTCTATTCTTAGAGAATGAAAATGCCCACATGATTTCTCTTTGTGTTTGTGTGTTTTACATTGTTTTAGGCAAAAAAAGATGTTCCACAGACAGCAAATACCAAGGTGAGTAACAACACAGACAACTCTGAGTTTTCCATTTGCGTACAGTATTTCTATAGTTTTTGATCGCCCATATTGATGACTACATTATTTTCATCACCTGTCTCATGTAATCCTCTAATGGATAAAGATGAATGTGTGAGGGTGCTGGAATAAAAGATGCCAGTGTGCCATGTTTTTCTGAGGTTCTTTTGTCTTCTACTGTAGCCAAATGTGTTTTCCCATTGATGGTCTTTGAACGTCATCTTCTCCAGAACAATTTTTTGATTTATTTTGTTTCTAGCCAACCGAACAGCCTGTCCCCGTTGTCCCTGTTACAAAACCGGAAACAAACGTGCCTCCAGCTCAGGAAATTCCAGCAGTGAAGCCAATTGTCATACCTCCAGAAGCTCCAGTACAACAACCAGCCCCAGCAGTTGTGGTTGTCACCAATGAAGCTCCCAAGGAGATAACCAAGGAAAGATCTTCTTCTACTCCCACACCTCTAAGTAAATTCTTTTGGAAAAAGGTATGTTTGGATCAGGGGTGAAATCTAAAATTTGTTACTACCGGTTCTGTGGGCGTGGCTTGGGGGGGGGGTAATGTGACTGGGTGGGCATGGCCAACTTTTTTTTTTTAACTTTTAAAAGCATTTTAAAAATGCTTTTAAAAGCCTCTGACAATCAGGCAACTCAGCTGGGATCGCCAGAGGCGATCTTCGGCCGAAGAGGTTGTAGAAAAAATGCTTTTAAAAGCCTCTGATGATCCTAGCTGAGCCGCATGATCATCAGAGGCTTTTTCTTTACTTTTAAAAGTATTTTTTCAGCTGAAGAGGTTGTAGAAAAAATGCTTTTAAAAGTAAAAAAACCAGCCTCTGATGATCGTACGGCTCAGCTGGGCATGGGCGGGGGGAGGTGCAGGGATTTTTGCTACTGGTTCTCCAAACCACCCACCACCATCGCTACTGGATCGGGCGATCCGGTCCAAACCGGGAGCATTTCATCCCTGGTTTGGATTCTAGAGTCACTCACTTGGAAGTTACAAATATTATTGGTAGTGCATTTATTTGCAACCATGGGTTTTTGGCAAAACTCATATAAAATTACTATATCAATTCAATTCAAACCCCCTAAAATTAACAGTACTGTTAACATCTACATCCATATCTTCCTCGTGGCCACTGGAAACAACACAACTCATTTTATTCATCTACCTTAGTCAGCAGGAAATAGATTCTCTCTTCTATGCTGAACTGATTTAGTTGAGTTAACAAAGGCAGAATCAATCTAGCTTTGGAATCCTGATATAATGTAATAAGGATCAGAGATCTTCCACCTATAAATGATCACAAATATATAAACTGTATGCAATTGGTAATCCCTTATACAGAATATTTCAGCCAAATAGGCTGTTGGGATTGTCTGAAAACAAAGTTCTGTGATAGAGTTTGTAAATAAGATGATATAAGAACAATTAAATTGATTAGTAGTTTTGTTGTTGTTTTATTCCTATTTAATTTGTCAATTGATGTTTGGTTAGTTTCCATGAGTTGCTGGGAATATTTTTTACGACTATGTTTTTATTTAAACAAAGATGCCTTTTCAAGAAAGGTAATTAATGCTTCTTATGCAATTCCAGCCAGGAAGCCATCACGTTTCCAGAAGTTACCTAAGCAGGCTGCTCATGTATTATTCCCACTGTGGTTCAGTGTGAAGGCAGTGTGAGGAAATCCTGGGTTTGACATAAATTCAGTGTAGCTTAGAGGAATCACTCAATCAGAACAGAGCTGGAAGGGATCTTGTGGTCTTCTAGTCCAGACCCCTACTCAAGCAGGAGATCCTATCAGAAATGAAGCCACAGAGATCTTTGAGAACAGTCCTGGTCATCTCCTTGCATGTTTGATGGAAAAGTGAGAACATGCAATCAACAGCCACAACTAAGAATAAAGTCTAGCAATCATGCTTTTGCTAGCCTAGACATGTCTGTAGAATGGATACACTATGACTGCCTAGGTCAGGGGTGTCAAACTCAAGGCCCATGGGCCAGGATCCGGCTCGTGGGGTGCTTAAATGTGGCCCACGGGGCCAGCCTGGAAATAGCAAAGGACCAGCCCGCAGTGCCCCTGGCAGCCAAAACGGGGTGCAGAGGGGCCACGTGTGGCCCACCCATGCCCCATTTTTGGCCTGGATGGCCTCCTGTAGCACTTTGCCAGCCAAAACAGGGTGCACCCCCCGCCCCCTTTTGGCCAGCAGAGTGCTGCAGGAGGCTGTCCAGGCCAAAAATGGGGCACAGGAGGGCTGAGTGTAGCCCCCCCCATGCCCCATTTTGGCCGGCAGAGTGCTGCAGGAGGCATCTGTCCCATCTCTCCCCCTCCCCACCCCCAGGCAGCCCATGGGGGCAAACTACAACGCTGATCAGGCCCTCAAAGAAATCCAGTTTGACACCACTGACCTAGGTGATTTCTGGAATTATGATGACTATTTGCATAAAAAGATGGAGCAAAAAAATAATAATCTGGATCTGGAGGCTGAAGTCCAGCAATTGCACTCTAATGTTAGAAATCCGCAGCATCTACTCAAGGGTATCTACAGTGACTTCTAAGCCATGGACATCATAACACCAACATTTGTGCCCCATCCTGCCAACACTACAGCTCACAATGAATGGATTTCAAGTCAAGCATGAACTCAAAGCAAGCGATTTCCTGAATATCTCTCGTTTTCTTTGATCACAAAGATCCCTCCCAGGATATAGCTGTATCACTAGTAACATTAAACCCGCTGAGTGAACATTACAAGACAGGAAAAAATAAATACAATATTCTCATGAGAATCCCATACATTACTTTATTTTTAAAAGTAAATCATGACAGAAGCCTTCTGCTTAATGGAGCATGTGTTCAGTTTTGGAGAAAAAAAATAAAAATTTCTAAATGGTGTACGGATGGAGTTACTGTGAGAAATATTAGAAATATAGCTGCTAAAGTGATAGTGTGAGAGAGAAGCTGGTTATTTTTTAAAAAATAAAAGGTTTGCTTTCAGTGGGATCATATTTTAATGCGATAAATGTGTTTTCATTATTAGCCGCGTGTAAGCATTGATATAATCTTGGATTATATTTGACATTGTGGTTTCTTCTGTCATCAGATGGTATTACAGGATTATTATACTGCACTGCATAGAAAAGAATAAAAACAGACTTTAGCAACAGACACAATGATAACATAATGAGATAATTATCATGAGTTAATTATCATGAGTGATAAGTGTTCCGGTTTTCTTTAAAATCGCTAATTTACTAAATTATAATTTTAATTAAATTAACTCTGCTGCTTTTAACTCTACCACTTTTCTCAACCAGTTTAATTAGGACTATTTTTTTTTTATTAACAAAAGTATCAGCTAAATTTCTGTTGATAACTCTTAAATGAAAAAGTGGAAGAACATCATAGAATCTAGCACTGATGACATTACTTAGTTTGAGTAATGAGACGTCTGCAAGAAAACAGTCAAGCTCAGAAAGCATCGAAGACCCCTCATTTCAATCCTGAGCTATAAATATTGTCCTTTATTGGTAACACCATTACCTCATACACACAACTCACAGGTACTTAAATTAATCCCCAATATGGACTGCACAATATGACATAGCCTCTAGGGCAGTGATGGCTAACCTTTTCAGGACTGAGTGCCCAAAGTGCATGCACCTGAACCCCCAAAATGCAATGCATGTGTGGCCCCCCCACGCATGCGCCCTGCCCCCACGCATGCACACGTGGCCCCCTGCATGCACTCCACCCCCCACGCTGCACACACAGCCCCCTGCATGTGCCCCACCCCACACATGCACACACGCCCCCTGCATGCACCCCCCCCAAAGAGACCCGAAGACTAGCTCACCAGTGGGAGGTGCGCACGCATGCACAGCAGAGCTGAGCTGGGGTGACAGCTCGCTTGCCCACAGAGAAGGCACTGCGTGCCACCTCTGCCATAGGTTCACCATCACTGCTCTAGGGTATAACATTGCCAAATTCATGGTAATGTTTATTAAACTAATGAAAGCGAAGAGAGAAATCTAATATCAGAGCACTAATTTTGACAGTAGCCAACATTTTTCACAATGTCTCTTCCTTCTTCTCTTCTCCTTCTCTCATATGGATAAAGATCACTATCTCAGTCTACCTTTATACTATTTAATCTTTATTCTTATTAAGCATTCTACCTTGCTTCTCAAATTCATTTATACTTCTCCAGGTGGTTTAAAACTTTTAACATTATATAAAACTAATGCTAATCAATAAAGCATAACTTTATTGTAAAGCATAACTGTAGAACAGTTCCTGGTGTCCATCTGAATCTGAATCTTGTTTGCAATAACATTGGGTTAGACGTGTTACACTAAAATTCAGTCTGAAGGGGTGTGTATGTGGAGCATAGGGTCCAGTTTAATTTTTTTTAATGGGAAAAAAATCAGTAACTCCTGGAATATAAAAATATCCAGAGACAATGACTTGCTGAATCTTATGATATAATCATAAGGACAAGTGGCTGCCTGCAAAAAAACCTCTGATTCCATTCTAAGAGTTTTCTCCTAATTTTAAAATATCACTTCTGGATTGCAGGCAAAAGAACGTGCAGAAGAGGTGCATGATGCTATGCAGCCCTAAATGTCAAAGAAATGTTTCTGCCCACTGTCAATTAGTATAAATCAGGGGTGGGTTCTACTTACCTTTACTACCAGTTCGCAATGGGGCCGCACATGTGCAGAAGCATTCTGATGATGTCGGGGTCGGTGGGCGGAGTCTCCCGCCGGTTTTACTACCGGTTCTATAGAACCGGTGTGAACCGGGGGCAATCCACCACTGGTATAAATGGACATTATTAAGGATGTATCTATTTTACTTTCTTCATTAGAGGGTTGTGAAAATATTTACAGACCTCTCACATCCTGGACATAAACTGTTTCAACTCCTACCTTCAAAACAATGCTATAGAGCACTGCACACCACAACAACTAGACACAAGAACAGTTTTTTTCCCTGAATGCCATCACTCTGCTAAACAAATAATTTGCTCAACATTGTCAAACTAGTTACTAAGTTTGCATTACTATTAATCTTCTCATAGTTCCTATCACCCATCTCCTCCCACTTATGACTGTATGACTGTAACCTTGTTGCTGGTATCCTTATATTGACTGTTTCCCTATGACTATCATTAAGTGTTGTCCCTTATGATTCTTGATGAATGTATCTTGTCTTTTTATGTACACCAAGAGCGTATACACCAAGACAAATTCCTTGTGTGTCCAATCACACTTGGCCAATAAAGAATTCTATTCTATTCTATTCTATTCTATTCTATTCTATTCTATTCTATTCTATTCTATTCTATTCTATTCTACTCTACTCTACTCTACTCTACTCTACTCTACTCTACTCTACTCTACTCTACTCTACTCAGTCCCAAGTGCCTGATTGCATCAGGGACTCTGAAATTAGTAGTTTTGATTTTTGAGGTGTGAGCCTTGGAATCAATGAATTTGCTTCCTCTTGAAGCAGAACACCTAGTTTGCTTCTTCAGCCTCACTGAGAGAAGGTCTTCTGAATTTTATCTTGACTGATCTAAATGTCTTGGATGAATTCACACATCCTTGATAACACTTCTTTTGAATCATTGCAGACCCCCACAGATGACATAGAGGTGATAAACACCGAGAGAATTGAAGCATCTCCAGAAGTGCCAGTGAAAGATGAAAGAAGGAGCCAGGAAATTGCAGAAACCAAGTCCAAAGGAGAGGAGAGACCTACCAAAACCAATTTGAGAAAATTCTTTAAACTGGTAAGACCGATATTCCTGGATTTGTATGCCAGCTGTATTACAATCATTGAGAAGTCACACATCTTAAAGTTTAATTAATAGTAAATATGATGGGACAGCTAATTAAAAAGTTTTCGTAACAGCCCTATGTTGGGTTGGGTTCATCAGATTGCATGGATGGATGATCATTTTACTAGACCAACAGTGAACCCAAATTTGGGCCTCCATTCCACAAAATGGCTAGTAAGGAATATAAAAGGAATGTTAAAAGTTGCCCATAAGTCCACCTCACAGTATATCTGTATAGTTCATCTATAACATTTGATAGTAGGCAGAATTTTAATGACTCTCCAGCAGATATGCTCCTGAGTAAAGGGCTTTTACCACATGAATTATTTCATATATAATAAAGATTCTAATCTAACCATGTCACCTCTGAGATTTTCCTGCCAACTCAAGTTGAAAAGTCAACTAAGAGTGAAGTGTCAGGAGTTCTGTGGTCTACTAACAAGTCCTAGTCTAAAACCTGACACACTGAAACAAATCGTTTCTGAGGGAACAATTGATAGACTATATAAGAAAGACATAAAAAGGTATGACAAATGGTGTGGTAGACCATATATTTATTCTAAATGGACGTTCACAGGACACTCCCAAGCTTGGCTAAAGGTTCCCTAGAGGACATTCCTATGAGAAAAGAAATAACATGCTTTTTTTTTTTTTTTTTTTTTTGGTCATTGTGTTCCTAAGTCCTGAAACTGGAAGGCTCAGTTAAACTCCTGTGTACAATCATTTATAATCATTGTAGGAAAAACTTCATATAATCCTTTGTTATTTTAGTCAGTCAGGAGTGACACAGGGGTAACTCCTCCTGAAATAAATGGGTCAGCACCTGATCACCAAGTAAGTGGATGGATCATTCAGTTTTCCTTTGGTGATGGTTCAACTGAACTCTTCTTCTGGGATTTAATGAGAACGTACATGATCCTTGAGTATTATATTTGATATACAACTTTATGTATTTCCTTCTGCCTTTGATTCCTAATACTTTTTGTACTGAAAGTGGCACTGTTGGTTTTAAATTCTTTTGAAAACCACTCAATTCAAAACTGAAGCTAAAATGAAGAAAAATGGCATTGTTTAATATAATAGTTAAACCGTTTTTGGGTAGTGTCTCACAATCTTGGCAACTTTAAAGATGGGTGGACTCAATTACCAGCATTCCCCAGCCAGCGTGCATTTATCTTAAAGTTGCCATGGTTGAAAAACATTGGTTGAGCAATAGCCTTATCATTATTATTGAAAAGATGCAGCATTCCCATCATGGGTGGGTTCTACTTACCTTTACTACCGGTTCGCAATGGGGCTGCGCGTGCGAGCTTTACTCGTGCGCGCGCTCTTCTGCGCATGCGCAGAAGCATTCTGATGATGTTGGGGTCGGTGGGCGGAGCCTCCCGCCAGTTTTATTATTGGTTCTATACAACCCACCAGTGATTCCCATCCTCCTCTACCTCATATTCTTCAAAAGTGTTGGATTGTGACTCCTAGTATTTTCAGCCCAGTTAAGGAAGGTTAAATTAAGCCTGGTTGTTCAGGCTAGAAATTGGCTCTGCAATTCCAACTATTTTGAAAATAGAGACTGCAGACCAGAGCACGGAGCCTAAGTTAATTAAATGTAGAACCTTTAAAAACAAAGTTGTCATTTGATGCCCTTGCATCATTTTTGTTTTGCAGTCTTTAGCACATGCCTGGTTATTACCCTATTTTCCCTCAATGAGCCAGTTTAAAAGAATGTGTTGTTTTGGGTGTTTAGTTAGTTCCTTATTCCAGACTTCCAAATACAAAAGGCGATGGATGAATATTAAATTCTTTGTACTTTGTAATTTGAAACTGCAGCCATTATCAACAGTGCCATTTTGTACCTTGTTCTTTATCTGTATTGTAGCCTGTTCTTTTTTTTCCTTCCTTTGTCTGAAACACGCTCTCTTGTACTTGTGTTGTCTTTGCAAAAACAATAAAGTACAATAAAGTAAATGAAATGGATCTTTTCTCCATTTGTGGTTCCATGCAGAATTTTACAGGCTCCTTTGACTAAAATTAGGAAAGTCCATTTAACTCCCTGTACAACGTAGACAGACCCCGTTTCTAGCTTTACCTCTTAGGTTCTTAGCTCTTCCGGTAAAAAAACAAATATTTATTTATTTATTTACCAAATTTAGGTACCACCCATCTCACTCTCAGAGTGACTCTGTGCAGTGTGCAAACACTAATTATTTTCCTTGTCTGAATACGGTAAATCCTTTCCCCAACAAAGAAAATAATAAATTCCGGGGTGGGAAAATACAGGAATATATATTTCTTCTTACATAACAATAATAATTATAACATCAAGGAAGGGTTATTTTGATATTTTTTCCCCTCACATTTCTTTTCATCTTTGGACTGTGTGGTCTCTTTTCCAGATCCCTCCTACTTGGCTAACCCTCCCTCCCTTCCTTTCTTCCTTCCTTCCTTCCTTCCTTCCTTCCTTCCTTCCTTCCTTCCTTCCTTCCTTCCTTCCTTCTGTGTTTCCTGTACATTTCCAAAGATCAGCTCTGAATTCCTTTATATCTAACGATTTCAATAGATTATATTCTATCAAACCTTGTATTGACTTTTGAAATCATGGAGATAAATACCAACCCAAGCAATATTAGAAATAATATGCTTTGGGATACTCTGGATACACCAGGGGTGTCAAACGCACGTTGTCATGGCAGCATCAGGTGACGTATCAGAATTCCCTCCCCCCTTGCTAAACTGGGCGGGGGCATGGACAGTGTGTGACGCATCCGGCCTGTGGGCTGGGAGTTTGACAGCCCTGGGATATACCTTCCTTGCCACTGGCTTTGTTGGTTGGAGCTTGTGTATGTTAAAATCCTGGAGGGCACTAATATACCGGCCTACCTTTGCTGTAAAAAGGTGATACAAGTTGGAAGGGAGGAATGCTGACACAGCATATGCCAGTGCCAGAAGAGTTATTTGCTCCTAACTCTAGGACAAACAGCTTCCCCCCCCTTTTTTTTTTTATCCTTAAAGAAAATAAATATAAAAATCCAGAAATAAGGGAAGGGCCGGGGGAGATATTTCAGAAAACCAGTGATGTTGTTTTTATTCACATAAACACAGGATTACAGAAGATCACTTATGTGACAGATTATGTTTGCTGTACAAGGGGACTAAACCTAACTAGGTGGCTAAAACATGAGCTTGTCAATCAGAAAGGTCGGCAGTTCGGCGGTTCAAATCCCTAGTACAGGTCTCCTGTGAGCAGGGGGTTGGACTAGATGACCTCCAAGGTCCCTTCTAACTCTGTTACTGTTACTGGTCTTCCCTGTGTCAGGGGTCTCATCAGGGTATGGTTTTAAAAAAAATGTCAAGAAGATTACCCTGGTGGCATACCGGAAGTTGTTTTTTATGGTATGGGAAAACGTATAAATCTTTGGGGTTACTGCCAAAATCACCACTACTTTTTGGAAGGGAAGAAAGAAGGAAAGAAGGAGGGAGGGAGGACCAAAAATAATATAGATAGGTATTTGGTTTTTGATTTCTCCATTCTTTGTGTTCCAACTGATTTATAGTATTTATTAACATATACTTGCTTAAATTGTCCGACACCTTTACTTTTTTGAATGTACTGTATGGACACCCCTGAACCAAGCCCATTACTGGCATTTAAGTCCTGCATATTGGGTGTAAGGGACGTGGTGGCTCAGTGGCTAAGACACTGAGTTTGTCGATCGAAAGGTCGGCAGTTCAGGAGTTCGAATCCCTAGTGCCGCATAACAGGGTGAGCTCCCGTTACTTGTCCCGGCTTCTGCCAAACTAGCAGTTCGAAAGCACGTAAAAAATGCAAGTAGAAAAATAGGGACCACCTTTGGTGGGAAGGTAACAGCATTCTGTGCACCTTTGGCGTTTAGTCATGCCAGCCACATGACCAGGGAGATGTCTTCGGACAGAGTTGGCTCTTCGGCTTTGAAACGGAGATGAGCACCACCTCCTAGAGTCGGGAACAACTAGCACATATAGCCTTTACCTTTATCGGGTGTAAGATTGCAACTCATGGTCTCCCAAGGAAACAAATTGTTCCTCCTTTGGGCTTTCCCTTTGCAAATCAAGCTGCCCCATTTCTTCTTTTAAACCCACCGACCAAGTAACCCTGTTTGAAACTGCTCTAGACCCTGGACTTCACAGACAGACCTTTGACCCAGGCTGAGACTCGAGATTCTGCAAGCAAAGGGAGCCGCAAGAATTCCACGGACAACCTAAACAAGTCGCAAGAGATCTCCCAGAAAACCAAGGATCCACAAGAGTCCGGACAAGAAGAAGCAGCCGAGATAGACTCCCTTCAGAATGGAGAGGATGCAGCACAACAAAGCCCTCTCAAGCGAATGGAGAAGCGACAGACCCTCGGAGCGTTTTTCAAGGGCCTTGTAGGTTACCTTCATCTTCCCTTAGTAAACCCTGCTTAGCCAGTACTTCCTCAAAGAAAACGTTCTTGAGGAGAGGAGAATAGCTCCTGCACCTTCATTATTTTCCTAAGCATGAATGGGAGCAGTAGTGGGTTTCACTTACCTTTGCTACCGTTTTGGAACTTCTGCACATGCGAATCTTCTGTGCATGCGTAGAGCATCCATGATGATGTCCGGGAGAGTGGGCGGAGCCTCCTGTTGCTGCCACTACCAGTTCGCCCAAACCGGGGCAAACCGGTAGAAACCCACTACTGAATGGGAGAGTAATGATTTGAAGGGAAGGGGCACCAAGCTGGCGGGAGATCTGGCCCTTCCGAGATTACCAAAAGGAGAGCTATAAGACCAAATGAGTACCAAATTCTTCATTCTGGATTGCTTTGGGACTCAGATGAAGTGGAATCTTTGGCCAACCTGGTGCCCTCTAATTCTATTGGGACCAGCTCCCAGAATTCCCTACTAGCGCATCTGAAAACTGGCAGGGATTCTGGGAGTTGATGTCTAAGTCCATCTAGAACACAGGTGTCAAACTCGTGCGTCATGTTGCCATCACATTTGTTATTTTTGTTATTTTAAAATTTGTATACCACCCTTCTCCTAGTGGACTCAGGGCGGTGCACAGCCAGAACTAAAACACATACCAATACAAAATTTAAAATTATTAAAAGAATTACATACTTTGGTCCAAATTTAAAACAATTTGAATTAAAACCCATTGACAAATTAAAAGCTAAAAAACTAAAAAACTAAAAAAGGGGGGGTGGGTATCATGACTTTTTTCCCTTCGCGGAGCTGGGTTGGGCTGGGCTGGGCATGGCCTGCGTGTGATGCATTCTGGCCTGCAGCTGCCAGTTTGACACCCGAGAGTACTAGATTGTGAAAAAGTTATTCTGCAATTTAAAAATGGCTCAATCTGGATTTTTATTCAATAAGTGGTTTTCCATTTGGGTTATGGCTAAGCAATCAGAGAAATCAGCTTAATTGCCTTTTTTTTTTTTTTTGAGGCCCAGAAATCTCTTTCCAAAATCATGCCTTGAATTAAAGAACTATATATCTCTTTTCTCATATCACATTGCAGTTTAAATTAAAGGCTTAGTTTAGTGCTTCATATCAAATTAGAGTATTATTCATTGTCATTTCTTGATTCATTGGATATTTAATTGCATTTGAATCTGAATATGGGGAAAAGGTTTTCTAACTTTTACTTTTGCAGGATCCTTATGGTCAGTTATGAAATATAGAATCTAATAATCAAGATAGACTGATATCTTGATTATATATATATATATATACACACACACAAACATACAAGTATATGTATAGAAAGGTAGGTAGGTAGGTAGGTAGGTAGGTAGATAAATAGATAGATAGATAGATAGATAGATAGATAGATAGATAGATAGATAGATAGATAGATAGATAGAGATAGAGATAGAGATAGAGATAGAGATAGAGATAGAGAGTGATAGTGATAGTGATAGTGATAGTGATCGTGATCGTGATCGTGATAGTGATAGTGATAGTGATAGTGATGGGATTCAAATAATTTAACAACTGGTTCTCTGCCCTAATGATTTCTTCCAACAACCAGTTCACCAAACTGCTCATAAAGTTAACAACCGGTTCTCCCGAAGTGGTGCGAACTGGCTGAATCCCACCACTGGATATTTATTTATTTATTTATTTATTTATTATATTTCTATACCGCCTTTCTCCCGTAGGACTCAAGGCGGTGTACAGTCAAGAAAAATATAGACACACAAACATCATAAAATTGCTAATTAAAATTATTACTTAGTTTGGTCAATTAAATAAAACCCAGAATTAGATAACATTTAAAAAAATCATTCACATGTTCGTATGTTTAGCCCTGCCTGTTGGAACATCAGGGTCTTGAGGGCACGGCGGAAAGCACGGAGATCAGGGATATTCTGTATCTCCGGGGGCAGTTCATTCCAAAGGGTTGGAGCCCCCACAGAGAAGGCCCTCCCCCTGGGAGTCGCCAGTCGACATAATTTGACTGGCGGTACCCTGAGTAGTCCCTCCCTGTGAGAACGAACTGCTCGGTGGGAGGCTATTGGTGGCAAAAGACGGTCTCGTAGGTACCCAGGTCCTAAGCCATGGAGCACTTTAAAGGTGATAACTAACACCTTGAATCGCACCCAGAAGACCACCGGGAGCCAGTGCAGCTCGCGTAGGAGAGGTGTTACATGGGCGTAACGAGCTGCGCCCATAATCACCCGTGTGGATATAGATATAGACACACACACACATACATATATACCACCCTGGAAGTTGATCATGATGGTCCATTTGCACACTACAGTGTTACCTGATTGAGCTTATTAGGGGAAGATATTATCTTCTGATAAAGATATTTTACCTGTGCTTTAAAGATGCTGCTAAACACCTAGCAGATTCACTCCCACAAAATGCTAATTCTAGTTTGTTTCATCCTTACTCTACTCAGTCTTTGTGTGTGAAGCCAACCTATCTGATTTGTTTGGATTTCAATATGCAACTCCCAGAAATTGCTAGTAATCAGTTAAATGTGTCAACTGAGTCCATTTCTATCCCCAGAAGAAAAAGATGATTTTTTGTATTCCTGGAATTTCTGCCGCAGCAAACTACATTCCCAGAGTTGTGACTCAATTGCACATTGTAGAACTTGGGTTCAACAATTTCATCCTATTTTTATCTGCTCCTCTTTTCTTATGTATGTTTTTCAGACTCCTCGGGCCAAGCTCTATGGCATAGAGTCTATGCATTTATATATTTATTTCAAATAGGAGGCGCAAGATGACATTAAAAGGAGAACTACATTAGAACCATTATCAATGAATTTTGTCCAATGTCCTGCCAGATGGGAAACTTACAAATAGCATGTGAATATCCCAGAAACCTTTGGGAGCTATTAGTAATCCATTAGTTTTAAATGGATTTGTAAGTTTTAAAAACCATTAGTTTTATTTCGTTTTTTTCTTAAAGAAGTAAAGTGAAATGTTAATATTAGTTAACATTTAACATTAATATCATTCAAAACAGTAATAAGTTAGAACCACAGAGTCAACCAAGTCAACCTCTTCCTGTATCTCTGCATATGGAAAGCCTTATAGCACGTAGGAAAGAAAAGAAAAATAAGGCAGGAGATAATTGTTTTGATGAATAATGTGATATGATTGAGCAAAGATTCTGAGGTGCTTCCACAATCAAGAAATATATTACATCTTGGTGTTTTAAATACGATACATGAGTTTATATACAGAAATGCAGAAACAGTGCAGGAAATGTAATTATTGACAGAATATTATCTCTTTAAAAAGTTCCCAATCCTTATACATGCTGAATTAAAGCCAACTCTTAACAATCCAAAGATTTTGATTGAAAGGGGGGGGTTGTTATGTTGTGATGCACATTAAAAAAAAAACTGCTAGCTCTTTGATTGTATTAAAATGGCTGCCATCTTGACTTACTTCTGACCATGACAAACACCTCAAAAGGGTTCACTGGTCTGAGTGACAAGCTTCATAATCTTTGTTCCTTCTCACTCAGAACAAAATAAATTACCGTAAAACGTCATGCAAATGTGTGACTCATGACGCCAATATACATATGTTGTATGTTGCAGCTTTTTCTCACATGGAATTTGGCTCATAATGGGAGTAAGTTTGTTTGTTTGTACAGTAAAATGTGAACGCAATTCTGAATGTAGACTCCTCCATCATATGGCTAAAGAAAATAGCCCACTAAAGAGAGAAATACAGAGGTGATATTCAGCAGGTTCTGACCAGTTCTGGAGAACTTGTAGCGGAAATTTTGAGTAGTTCGGAGAACCGGTAAATACCACCTCTGACTGGCCCCGCCCCCATCTATTCTCTGCCTCCTGAGTCCCAGTTGATCGGGAGGAAATGGGGATTTTGCAGTAACCTTCCCCTGGAGTGGGGAGGGAATGGATATTTTACAGTATCCTTCTCCTCCCATGCCCACCAAGCATGCCATGCCCACTAAGCCATGCCCACAGAACCGGTGGTAAAAAAAATTGAATCCTACCACTGGAGAAATATATAAAAACATAATTTCTTGAGCATCTTCAACAATGTTTACATGTTTCTCTCCCTTTTCTCCAGAGTCCCAAACGGATGTCAGATGCTGGGGTACAAACAGATCCTGTGTCTATCGTGTCTATCGTGAAACCCAAATAATTAACAACTGGAAGTCTCTGAAGAATCACTGGATCACCGTTACTTTTCCTCCTTTCAGGACAGAAAGAAAAAAGAAATGATTGGTATTGTTTATCCCCCCCCCCAATCTCTCCTTCCCTTCTTTTCGCGGCTGTAGCAAACTAGGGGCTGATATACAAATCCAAGGTCATTCCAAGTAAGATGTTTTGTGGATTGTCTGTTTCTACTACCATCTACCCACTGCTTCTCCCACTGCTTCGCCCACCCTCACTGCAGTTCAGTCTGTTGAATCACCACATATATTTTCTTTCCTGCTGCAATGATCGTGATACCTTCCATGGGATGACCACGAGGTAGATTGATCTACTCCAGTGTTCTCATTGGTCATGCATTCAAAAAGGCAGCATCTGATTGGTTTACCTACCTGACATTCCTTCTTCTAACCCAGGGGTCGGCAACCTTAAACACCCAAAGAGTCACAAAGATCCTAACCGGAAGCCTCCCCATTCAATTCTGGAGCCGACCGGAAGTCTGCTTCCCCCACCATAGAGTCTCCTCCTAGCGCAGCGTCATTTTTCCTCTACCAGTCCTAACCGAAAGCCCTATAAAATTGTAGAGCCAACCAGAGACAAGGAACCGCAGCAGAGGGATGAAAGAGCCACATGCAGTTCCAGAGCCACGGGTTGCCGATCCCTGTTCTAACCCATAGCAATACAATGGAATGGTAGGGGTGCAGCCTGGGCTAAGATCCAAATTAAACACTATCAAACCTACTTGCTGCCCTGAATGCTAATATATGCTTTGAGAGACTACCAATTGCGGAACATATTCTCTTAAAAGTTAAAAAAAAATAACAAAAGCTTACAAGGGCACTAAGATTTAAAGGGAGTTCAGCATCCAGGACATCTGGTAGATTTATCAAAACCCAAAAGCGGATAGACATTACCAGTATGGGGGAATGGGTTAAGATTTGTTTCATTCTTTTTTCTGAATCCAAAAAAACAAAACCAATTTTTTTTAAAAAAAACTGGAAAAAGCCTGCCTACAAATGTATATGCATTATGCATTTCTAATATATATGTGTTACTATCCTGAGTTCATAATGGGCTTCATTTAGGCACTGATATTTCCTATACTTTGCTGCATTGTATGCAATTATCTCTGCATCTTTTTAGCTGCAAATCATGTCACGGGATTGTGCAAAGTGTGGATAGTGATGCAGAAGAAACAACTCAGAAAAAGTGACCTGCATACCGTATGTTTGTATTTTTAAAATTGAAGAAAATGCATTTCTCCTCCATGCCTACCCAAACTCCATGAAATGTAACTCTATCCCAATTTTCTTCAAATGTCCTTGTTTTAAGAGAGGATCATCTTAGGACATCTAATTGTAGATCCTGTGGTCCATTTAGCACTTCAGAGCCCTGTTAGATGAGAACAGCAGATGAAGACTGATTCAACTTTTTGCAAGTCACAGATTTTATTAAAACATGTAAACTTTCATGAGTGCGACAGTAGCTCGTCAAAGCTTATATCTTTCCATAAAACTGGTTATTCAGAAAAGATGCTATCAGAAACCTCCGGATTTTTTGATTACCATAGACTAGCCCAACTCTCTTTCTACAATTAGAGCAACATATAAGTCCCAGTAAATGTAGTTTCATGATTTCTGATTGCCGAAAATTATTTGCAATTACTCAGAACCAGTTTGCAGTATGAATAAATTTGGAAAGTGTCCTCTTACTCAAATTAGAATATCAATCTTGGATCATCTGTCTTAGTTTGCCCAGTTATGCAGAGAACACCATTTGCATATGTTTGCAATTTGCTTATTTTCCAGTCATTTGCATAATGTAAATTCAGTTTCCTTGCTCTGTGAGAACATGATTGGATATAGAAACATGAAGAAAATTAATGGGTAATGGCTGTTAGTGTACTAACTAATGCCATTTGAATTGATCTATAACAAACAGGGGCATCTGTATAGTAGTGGCCAAAATTGTGAAAACCTTTTGTTAAAAGCAATGCATGGCTAGTCCTCAACTTACGACCACAATTGAGCCCAAAATTTCTGTTGCTAAGCGAGACAGGTGTTATGTGAATTTTGCCCAATTTTATGACCTTTCTTGTCACAATTGTTTAAGGGAATCACTGCAGTTGCTAAGTTCGTAATTTAGCTTGTCAAAAGATGACAAAAGATGATCGCATAACACGAGCACATTGCAACATCATAAATATGAGTCAGTTGCAAAGCATCTGAATTTTGATTACATGATTGTGGAGATGCTGCAATCATTATAAATGTGAAAAAACCGTCATAAGTCACTTTTGCTAGTGCCATTGTAATGTCAAAGAATTACTAAATGAATTGTTGTAAATTGAGGACTACCTGTACATACCCGATTAGGATCTGAAAATATTTCATGCTTCACATGGGTAATCTGGGGTTAATTTTAATTGTAGCTAGGAACATTGTGGTTTATAGTAAAACAGTAGTACTAATGTGGAGATAAATATTAGAATAGAATGGAATGGAATGGAATAGAATGGAATGGAATAGAATAGAATAGAATAGAATAGAATAGAATAGAATAGAATAGAATAGAATAGAATAGAATAGAATAGAATAGAATAGAATAGAATAGAATAGAATAACAGAGTTGGAGGGAACTTTGGAGGTCTTCTAGTCCAACCCCCTGCCCAGGCAGGAAACCCTACACCACTTCAGACAAATGGTTATCCAACATCTTCTTAAAAATTTCCAGTGCTGGAGCATTCACAACTTCTGCAGAAAAAAATGCTTTTAGAAGCCTCTGACGATCAGGCAACTCAGCTGGGATCGTCAGAGGCTTTTAAAAGCATTTTTTTTCCTACAACCTCTTCGGCCTAAGAGGTTGCAGAAAAAAATACTTTTCAAAGCCTCTGACGATCCCAGCTGAGCCGGGCGATCATCAGAGGCTTTTTTTTTTACTTTTAAAAGCATTTTTTCAGCTGAAGAGGTTGTAGAAAAAAATCTTTTAAAAGTAAAAAAAATAAGCCTTTGATGATCGCCCGGCTCAGCTGGGCAAGGGGGGGGCAGGGATTTTTGCTACCGGTTCTCCGAACCACCCGCTGCCATCGCTACCGGATGGGGCTATCCAGTCCGAACCGGGAGCATTTCACCCCTGGTTTAGAAGCATATTTCAAGCCACACTTTCATATCTCCTTTTCTAGGTCACCCTTATTTGTAGTTTTATCAGATAACAATGCACACTCATTGACATCAATTGTCAATGACGAGCTGAGCCATTATGTGATGTTTGCAAATGCAGGTATGGGGAGCGATTGAGCAGAGTATGAAAGGTTGCAGTTATAAAGATAATATAATGTAAGATTCAGTGGACAGTGGAGTTTATATTTGAGTAGGTTTCTTAGGGTTGTAGTAGACAATTAGAAAAGGATGAGATTAAAAGGTTTTTAGTTAGATGTATATTACAGGTAGTCCTCGATTTACAATCACAATGGAGCCCAACATTTCTGTTGTTAAGTGAGACATTTGTTAACTGAGTTTTGCCCCATCTTACCACCTTTCTTGCCACTGTTGCTAAGTGAATCACTGCCGTAGATAAATTAGTAACCTGGTTGTTAAGTGAATCTGGCTTTCCACATTGACTTTGCTTGTCAGAAGGTCGCAAAAGGTGATCGCATGACCTTGGGACAATGGTCATAAGTATGAATCAGTTGTCAAGCATCTGAAGTTTGATCACATGATCATGAGGATGCTGCAGAAGTCGTAACTGTGAAAAACGAACATAGGTCACTTTTTTCAGTGCCATTCTAACTTTGAACAGTCGCTAAATGAATTGTTGTAAGTCAAGGACCTCCTGTATATGATCAGGGGGATCCTCTTTAAATGGTACCATTTTCCAGGGAAAAAGATAAAATGAAAACCCCAAAAACCTCCATTGCAAGTTGTAATCTAAACTATTTTCAAAACACAGGAACGTACAACAGTTGGTTACAACCAGTGCCCCATTGTTGATCATGAATACCAGGGCTGCATTCATAATTTTTTAAAGGCATTTTTGAAATTGGTTTTCAAATGATTTCAGGCAGTTCTCAAGTTACAACTACAACTGGGACAGAATTCCCATCACTAAGTGAGCTGGTTGTAAAGTGAGTCTCGTGCTCGATTTTATGACTTTTTCTGCCAGAGTTGTTATTCGAATCTGGCTTAATTGAATTTGACTTTGTCGTAAGGTTGCAAATGGTGATCATGTGACTCTGGGACACTGCAACCATTGTGATTATATGCCAGTCGGTAAGTGTCTGGATTTTGATCATGTGACTTAATCGTCACATGATGGTCTTAAGTGCAAGGACTGGTTAAAAGTCATTTTTTCAGCATCATTGTGACTGTAAATGGTTGTCAAACAATGGTTGTGAGTCTACCTGTAATTCTATTGAAAAAGCTGAAATTTACAGGATTTCTCACTAATTCTCATCTATTTCTGTCTTCATGTAATGAAATGCAAGAAGTTTACTTCTCAAAAGTAATTAAAGTATTAACCAGAATCCAACACAAGGGGGCAGTATGGAGGCCCTTTTATTACTAACCTAAAGGACATATTTACTTCTGTGTTATTAATATAATTTGTGTATTGTGCAGGGGAAGATCAGATTGTTAGGTTATACAATTATATGATTTCTTTTTTAAAAAATGGATTGGAAGAACAAATGCAAATTATAACTGATTTACAAACATTCTGTGGTAAGAACTTTTTATAGCACATCTATGCTACATATACAAACACATTCTATTCATTATTGTAAAAGTAAGGAACAGGAAGACTAATGTTATAATTTAAACTAGCACCTGAATTTTAAATACTTGTATATTTTGATTTCCTTCTGATTCAATAAACATTATTTAAGAAAACCTATTTGCTTTTAATCGCTTAATTGAAGGTTTTTATTAATTCGCTATGGCTGTGACCCCAATTTTGCAAAAGGTGGGTACTATATACTGACACTTTTTTTATTGTTTTCTGAAATATATTTAGGATCTATCAAAGTCCACATCAGATGTTTGACACCCAAGGACACTTTGACATTCACTGAATTTTTGATGAGAAAATAACACACATGAACACAGAAAACTGTAATCTACACTTTTCTAGCCAAATGATTGACAGGTGTGTGTGTGTGTGTGTGTGTGTGTGTGTGTGTGTGTGTGTGCATCTTTCTTGCTCTCCCCCTTGGGTGGCCACTGGATTGGGGCAGACTGCTGGAAATCCATTTCATATTATGTATCATATTTTAGGTTTCAATTAGTACAGTAATTCATCTTTTATATATTTGAACCTCATTGGAAATAGAATAGAATAGAATTTTTATTGGCCAAGTGTGATTGGACACACAAGGAATTTGTCTTGGTGCATATTATTAATATTCAGCAACATATTGAAGCTCGTGTTCAGACTATTAATTTGGTCTAGTTCAGATTTGGGAATCTTGCACTAAGGAGAAGGGAAATTTTGGGGTGCCAACGTTCAAAGAGAAAAATAAATAAATTGAAACATGCTCAGGAAAGTCACCAAGATATTGAAAAGGTTGGAAATAAAGGAATAGTTAAAAGATCCAGGTGTCAATTTTGAAACTTGCACTGTTGTCACAGGCTCTTTTCGTTTCTTAGCTTGCCACGCTAGACCAGACAACAACAAAAAAATCATCCTGTGGGAACCAAGGTCATCTCAACAGATGTTTGGCAAAGGCTTGAAGAGGTTGCCATAGAGATACCAGAACACCTAATGAGACAATGTGACCTGGGCAAAGGAGGGGAGGAAAGAAGTTCTACTGAAGTCACAACTCATGTGTGACTTACAAATGTTCTCACTGACCTAGCACAACTGCTTGAATAAATAATACTTGAGTTCTAAAAGTTTAGGCTGAAGATTGATATTATGAAAACATACCATTTATTTTTGTTACTTTACCCCAGCTCTCCAGCATACAGCTTTATGTAGTTTTAAAAACTATTCTAGATTGCTTCAGTTTATGGCTTTTGGTAAGCTATTTCAGTCTACATTGAGGCTGGGTCATTTCCAAGGACTTCTGCAATCAAATCGGTGGTGAAATCCATTTTTTTTTACTACCGGTTCTGTGGGCGTGGCTTGGTGGGCGTGGTGTGGCTTGGTGGGCGTGGCTTGGTGGGCGTAGCAGGGGAAGGATACTGCAAAATCCCCATTCCCTCCCCACTCCTGGCGGAAGGATATTGCAAAATCTCCATTCCCACCCCACTCTGGGGCCAGTCAGAGGTGGTATTTGCCAGTTCTCCGAACTGCTCAAAATTTCCCATATCGGTTCTCCAGAACCTGTCAGAACCTGATGGATTTCACCCCTGAATGAAATCCTTTGAGTGTATGTGCATATTTGTGTGCTTGAATATATAATTAGGAAAGAAGAAGAAAAGCAGGTTAAGTGAAGGCTCTGACTTGGAAATCTCTCTGTTTCTCTTCACACATTTCACTAAAATGAGAAGCGCTTGTTTTACCTTATCACGTAGCATGAACCTACTAGCTCCTCTGATTTCTAAATCATGGCTTAGAAGTAAGTACATGACCTCAGCCATCCCCAACACACCCCTATCCGCTCCTGCTTTTTTGAGAAAATACATTGCACATACCATAGTTTATTTTCTTATCTATCCATTTGTAAAGAAAACATTTAAACAGAGAATTTGGGGAAACTACAACTCCTCCCTTTCCATGGCGTCTACTTTAGTGACTACTAGCTCTTTACAGACTACTCAGGTTAAGTGCAAAAAAACAGGAAATCCTGCCCCACCTCTTTCTGAAGGTGTGTTTTCCCCCTGTAATAAGTTGCTTGAAATAAGAGACAAAATCCACAAACTAGCAACAAAGAGATTCAGAAAAGTCTTACATAACTCAGAAATATGTAGCCCAGGCATGGTAGTCCTAGGTCTAAGAAAAGAATCACAAGCCTCTGTATCTATGAAGCTATCAGAAATCGGGTTTGTCTAGTCTAGTGAAAAGAAGGACTAGGGATGACACGACAGCAGTGTTCCAGTATTTGAGGGGCTGCCACAAAGAAGAGGGGGTCAACCTATTTACCAAAGCATCAGAAGGCAAGACAAGAAACAATGGATGGAGACTAATCAAAGGGAGAAGCAATCTTAGAACTAAGGAGAAACTTCCTAACAGTGAAAACAATTTACCAGTGGAACAGCTTGCCTTCAGGGTTTGGGGGTGCTCTGAAGTTTCATACATAACTGTGTAGTTTCGATGGCCAGGTCACAATATTTCGTGATTTTTTTCCAATTCTTTTTCTTCGACTCTGGTGTCTCCTGGTACAGCAATATCAATAAACTGTACACTTTGGCCCTTGATAACTGTGATATCTGGCATGTTGTGTTCCAAATGATGATCCGTCTGTATTCGAAAGTCCCACAAGATCTTCACCATCTTCACAATAATAATCTTTATTATTATTATTTACTTTATTCATTAAACATGAAACTCAGTCAATTAAACATTCAAAAATGCATCACAAATACCTTTGACTGGTGTTAATGGTTGATATTATTTTTATTATTTTTATTATTTTTTATTTTATTATTCATATTTCCGAGGACTCTGGGCGACTTACACCAAAGACAGTATACTAAATAGCATATTGCCCCCAATAATCTGGGTCCTAGTATGTACAGCTGCAAGCTAGATGGAGAGAAGATCAAAAAATTGGTATCTTGCAAAATGAGGAGAACTTGGTAAAACAAATTAGAGATCAAAGTCAAATGCATATAAAAAGGTTGTATAATGCACTGGTAGAAATAGATTCAGAAACGGAGTTAGTTAAGGACTGTATGATAAAATGGGCACAAAATATTGAAGAACCAATAATGATGGAAACGTGGGAAAAAATATGGGTTAGAAATGTGAAGTTTACGCAAGCCCAAAATTTAAGAGAGAATTTTTATAAAATGTTTTATAGATGGCATCTAGATCCTAAAAAGCTAGCCTGTATGTATCCAAGTGTGCAACCTAAGTGTTGGAGATACGAATGTGATGATGCCACGTATTATCATATACGGTGGACATGTAAAAAAATTAAGGCATTTTGGATAAAAATATGGTGGATTATCCAAAACATTCTCAAAAAGAAGATAAAATTTACTCCACAGTTCTTTTTGTTGGGTATAATTACAGATTGTACAGTTATAGAGACTAAATTGATTTTAAATTTAATAACAGCAGCCAGACTTTTGGTGGCACAGTATTGGAAGAAGGAAGACTTACCAACTATTGAAGAATGGACATTAAAAGTAGTGAATTTAGCAGAGATGGCAAAAATTTCGGCATACTTGAAGGACCATTCAAATGAAAGATATATATTGGAATGGAGAAGATGGATTGACTATATTCAAAACAAATATCGGACAAAAAAGTTTCAAATAGCCTATGAATGAAACCAAAATTTTCTTTTTGAATTATGTTTTGTTAGTTGAAAGGGGAGTTAAAGAGCAAGAGGGAATTTGGAGCCTACAGAAAGCTAGCATATTTTAGTTTATGTTTGTTAAATGTTATACCCTGTATTTGCTCTGGGAAGTCCGGGGTGGGTGGGGGGGAGGGGGGTTGGAGGGAGAGGGGGGATGAGGGATCGGGGGATGGGTGGAGGAGGGAAGGGGGGGAGGAGGGATGGGAAAAAATTGTTGTAATACCTGATAAAACTTTTTAATTAAAAAAAAAAAAACAATCTGGGTCCTCATTTTACCCACCTCGGAAGGATGGAAGGCTGAGTCAACCTTGAGCCGGTGAGATTTGATCCGCTGATCTGCTAAACTAGCAGTCAGTTGAAGTAGCTGCACTACTGCACCCTAACCACTGTGCCACCTCGGGTTGCTCCCAGCATCCTAAGTATCAACCAAGTACCTTCTTAAGATGTACGATGTTCCAAGTAGTGCAATTTTTTGCTGTTCTGCTGGTGTTATTGCAGGAAACTGCAATTTGTTGATGTATCTTATAAAATTCTTGGACATGGAACCAAGCGCCATGATGACAATGGATATCACGGTTACATGTTTCATCCATAGCCATGTAGTTTCGATGGCCAGGTCATGATTTCGTGATTTTTTTCCAGTTCTTTTTCTTCGACTCTGGCATCTCCTGGTACCGCGATGTCAATAAATTGTACGTTTCGGTTTTCGACAACTGTGATATCTGGCATATTGTGTTCCAACTGATGATCGGTCTGTATTCGAAAGTCCCACAAGATCTTCACCTTCTCATTTTCTATAACTTTTTCCACTTTATGTTCTCATGACTTTTTGGATATAGGTAAGAAGATGATGATGATGATGATGATGATGATGATGATGATGATGATGATGATGATGATATTATTATTATTATTATTATTATTATTATTATTATTATTAGTTAATCTTTAGTGAGATTCACAGCCTTTGAGGCTGGTTAATAGCTCAGCAGCTCGAGTCCTAACCAAGGACCTAGGAACTGTTAAGGTATCGTCGGAGGATGTAAGCTGTTCTGAGTAAGGTGGTTTGAAGAACATGCTCAATGCAAATATTTTTCCAAAATGGTAATGTTTCCAGTTCTCTCTATGACCTCAGTAATATTATTTTCCTGTTGCACAGTTCGTATTTTATATAGCAGTTGTCTTCCTTCAGACTATTAACTGCTCCAATTTACATTTCTCACTAAGGAAATCCCTGCCATACTTCAGATTACTTATAAGGATGTTTGAGAACAATTATTTTATGGACAGCCTATGTCAAAAATATAATCTTTCAATAGCATTCACATTTCATTTGCCTCGAGGACTCAATGCTTACTAAATCTCAAACTCACATATGTTCCTAATAAAGTAATTTGTGTAAAGTCAAGGAAGGACAACATGATGT